CTCTGCTCTGCTCTGCTCTGCTCTGCTCTGCTCTGCTCTGCTCTGCTTTGCCCTGCCCTGCCCTGCCGTGCCGTGCCGTGCCGTGCCGTGCCCTGTCCTATTTATATCCCACCTTTATTATTTTTACAAATAGTTCAGGGTGGTAAATATATCCAGCACACCTTGCTCCTTCTATGTTCCCCACAATAATAACCGTGTGAGGTGAGTTGGACTGAGAGAGTTTCTGGCCCAAAGTCACCCAGCTGGTTTTCATGAAGGTTTGGGCTTAGTCTGCTTGTGGCAACATAGAAACTCTAGGCTGATTCTTCTTTTGACTCCACCCCCAAGCTGTACCACTCCTACAGATATATTTCTAGTAACTCTTGGAATAATAATTTCCTTGGGACCATTGACAACATTTTCCTGAAATCAGTATTTAAGCTTTTATATTCTAAAAAAACATTTCCTCTTTTTCAATTTAGGAAATGGCAACTTTCAAGATAGCAGCATTGCAAAAAGCATTGGATGATAGTGTACCTCTAAATGACCTTGAAATGGCTAATAAACAATATAATGACTTAACTGCTAAATACAGGGATATGCTTCAAAAAGATAACTTGCTTATTCAAAGAACAAACAATATGGAGCACCTAGAGGTGATATTATTTATATTATATTACTTTGAACAAACGCTATTCCCTTCATCCCTTCATTTACTTTTCGAGCTATTAGAAAATTCAATTGGATGCTTCATTATCATCAAAAATTAGAAAGGGAACTTTATGGAGTAGCCCCATGAAACTGCTGTTAAAGTCAAAGTATATTTCATTCAGACCAACTTTTAAAAATCAGTACTGTTATTCCATTCAAATTATATGTACAGTAGAAAAATAATTTACCTTTACATGTTCCTTCATAGCATGAGAACACATCTCTGAAAAATCAGATAGAATCTTTAAATAAGGAATTAGAAATTACAAAAGAGAAACTTCATACAATTGAACAAGCCTGGGAACAAACAGTGAAACTTGGTAAGCACATAGTTATGGTAAAAAAAAACCTTTTTTCTGTAAAACTAGCAAGGTGACAAGTTTGTATATTTTTTCTTTTACTTGGGAAGTGATGGAATACCAATTTCACATTCTAAGTTTGGGAAGAGTAAGATTCTTAATTATACCCATGTATTGAGTTGAACAAAGAACATAATATTTAGATATATCTCTGTTTCTTTTCTTGTATTAGAACGTTAACATATGTTAAATCCTTTGTTCTAGTTGGAAAAGTTTTTTTTTTCCTGCCTTCAGTGAAAAAGTGAGGTATTTCAGACTCACAAATGGGATTAGATCATCAACAAATTATAAATCTGTTATAATTAAACAATGGTTAGATTTCTGGGTCATATTCCTGCTTTCTTTTATATTAAAATAATAAACATTTTGGAAAATTTAACATATTGTTCCTCTGTAACACTAGTATTATATTTTATTTCTTTTTAAAAGGTATCTAGTGCATCTGAGTTACATTTTATTGTATTTGTTGTTGTTGTTATTAGGAGACAATACTACAGACAAAGCTACAAAAGCAATAACCAACAGTGAGATTGTTTCTATTTCTAAGAAAATTACTATGCTTGAAATGAAGGAATTAAATGAACGACAGAGAGCGGAGCATTGTCAGAGAATGTATGAACACCTACGAAATACATTAAAACAAGCAGAAGAACGTAACATTGAACTGGAAGCAAAATTTGCTGAGGTGGTTAAACTTTATTTACATAGCTTGCATTAAGTGTTTGATACAATTATAGACTGCTGTTGTATTTGTAATTGTCTGTCATTGAGTTAACGTTGGTTTTAAAAAAAATCATGGTGATAGAGGCTTTTAGGGGCTATTGATTAAAACAGGGAGCATGTACATGCTCAAGATCTATACTCACATCAAAGGTACAATAATATACATATTTATCTCTGAGTAGCTTCCATTGATTCAGCCAGCTGTATTTCAGGTAAATAGGCAAAGGATTGTACTGTAAGTGAGTTTTGGTTTTGGAATCTAAGTGGATCTCATTGCTGCTTCAGGTTTCTGCCATTCATTCCTGCCTTTTGGATAATGGATTGGATGAAAAGAATTACAAACTTTGTATCATCAGCTGTGATTGCAATGGCTTATAACTCTTGTAAAACAAACACCAACATCAAACATTATATTTAATATATTATACATTATTTTTATGAAGCTGCTTGCTACATTTGACATAAAAAAATCAAACTCATGCATGTATTTCAAAGAGAAATGTCTTACTGCAATGTTACATCCCACGTTATAACAGTATACAACTGTCAGATTAAATACATAAAATACATGTCTTTTCACCTCTTGTCAGAAGCATTAGATTTAGCCTAGGTACTATACACGTTACTAGATCTTTATTTCAATATTTATAGAGAGTATTTGATGATTTCATACATAACTCATTAATTAGATAGGCAGTTGTAAAAGAGTATGCTTTGAAATCTGATGTAATTGTATGAAAACACATTACCTAGACTTTTTGGCAAGAATGTCATACACATGCAATAGATATAGAGTGATTGTGTTTTGAAGTGAGTTTCCTTCTAGTTTAGTAAGTCAAAGTTACAGATGCAACTGGAAAACAAAGCTATTTGTTTAAATCCTAAGCCCTAGCCAGATGTCTGCATTTTAAATCTTATTCTTCATGTTTAAGAATATCATAAAAATGTACATGATATAAATTATCCAGCTGTATGTGTAAGCATTGTTACATATTATCTCAGTATAATTCATTTCAATTTGATCTTTCTTAGCTTACAAAAATCAACTTTGAAGCACAGAAGGTAGAACAATCTTTGCGAGATGAACTGTCAAACAGTGTGAGTAAAGGAATAAGTGAGGTGGATAAACGTCGAATAATGGAGCTAGAGAAAAGTGAAACTGAACTCAAGATTGAGATATCAAAGTAAGTATGAAAATTCTATCCCTTTGCTGAAAAAAGAGGAAGTGTATTGATATTTACCCAGCAGTTCATCTTTTTTCTATACATGCATGTTACAAGATCTTTTTAATGGAAAAATATTGTCAGGGATTGTTGGTTTTTTTGTTAAATTAACTTCTTTTTATTCCAAAATTGTTTTACAAATTTATGAAGCTGGGGATTATTATAAAGGAAGCTTTCATGTGACTTTAGAAAGCATTCTCATTTTATTAAGCTTTCATTTAATATAAAAGAAAATCAGTTACTTCAATTTGAAAGAATCAAACCATTTACATAATACATTCAAGATTGAACTCTTACAACTTTTTCCATTCTCTATGTTGCAGTGGAATGAGAGCCATTTGTTTATGAGTAGGTTGATACTGGTATATTGTTATTTTAATAATCCAATTTTAGGCCTGCTTTTCTGATCTTGCCAACTCTTACAGTATCTTTTCCTTCTGCTTTAAGGTTAAAGGAGCTTTCTGATATTGCTAAGACACAAGTTACTGCACTGGAGAATCGGCAACAATCCAGAGATAAAGAAGTGGAATCACTCAGAATGCAGATTTTGGACTATCAGGTGTGATTTCCGATACCCAGGTAGTTTTTAGTGTTCTTTGTAGTATTATTCTTTTAAACACATTTAATTTATTTTTATTTTATTGGATTTTAGGTACAATCAGATGAAAAAACACTTATTGCAAAATTACATCAGCATATTGTGGCTCTTCAGGTTAGTGAGGCTACAGCTATAACTAAGTTGGCAGCTGCAACATCAAAACTTCAGAACACAGAGATCACTAACATGCGCTTAGAGCAAAAATTGGATGACAAAGAGCAAGCATTATATTATGCAAGACTCGAAGGAAAAAATAGAGTCAAACATTTACGCCAAACCATTCAGTCATTACGGAGGCAATTTAGTGGTGCTTTGCCCCTAGCTCAACAGGAGAAGTTCTCCAAGACTATGATTCAACTGCAGAATGACAAACTTAAAACTATGGAAGATATCCAGCAAGCTCAGCAGGAACGTCGAAATGCAGAGAACAGAGCAGTGGAGTTGGAGATGAAATTAAAAGGAATAGAAGAACTAGTAGCCACTTTAAAAGACGCAAGAGGAGCACAAAAGGTTTGAGACATTCTGTCTTAAATTGAAAGATTTTATATGTAATCCTGCATGTGCCAAATCAGGCTTTGACTATTATTCCCATCACCCTATCTATTTAAGCATCTTTCTAGCCTTCTTAGTGGTGCACAGTGATTTATATTTTTTAAATAAAGTCATCTTCTTAGTTTGGACCCAAATTTAAAGAGATTATTAGATGTGCACTAAACTTTGTATACAGGTGAAACTCAAAAAATTAGAATATCGTACAAAAGTTCATTTATTTCAGTAATGCAACTTAAAAAGATGAAGCTAATATATGAGATAGACTCATTACATGCAAAGCAAGATAGTNTGTATTTGATAATTTCTGTATTTCTGAGAATATCTTTTGCAGATTTAAAACTTCTTTCTGGTGTTGAAATTGCGCCATGATTTCCAGCTGACAAACACTGCTACTCTAGCTTAGTAGGTTTTACCAAAATTAAGCATCACAATAAAATTTCAACTTTCTCTGGTTACTTCAAAGGAACAGTCTGTGTTTTTCTTCTTCTTATCACTCTATATAAACAAGCTCTGAGTCCTTGAAGTGCCAAGCCAGGATCAGTCAAAGAAGTATTTCGTTTCCAATACACAAGCACCTAGCTTCCAAGTAGCAGCGTTACAATGTTAGAATGTTATCACTTCTTTGTTTCTTTTTGTACCATTTTGTATTTCAAATTTTAAAAAATGGTCCGATTCTTAAATGAGTTAAAAAAACACCCACAGTAATGAAAGAGGAAAGTTTTAGTCCATAGATTACGGAAAATACTCAAAGAAAAAAAAATAGAAGAAGGAAACTTAATTTGTTTTTCTAAAAGATCTGTGGAATTAAATTGAGTTTTTCTAAGTTTGTCTGAAAAAGTGAAAAAGGTTTCTTTCTTGTTCTCAACTTGCTCCACAGGTACAAGTGGAAGATAACAGTGATAGTTCTAAGGCTTTTACAGTAGATGAGTTTTACAGTTCACTAGAGCAAACATCCACAGAAATTCTAGGGACAGCTTTATGTTCAGTCAGCAATAAGAATCCGAACAGCGCAGATTGTCCAGTTTCATTTTCTGTGCTGGAAAGAACTGAAAGGGCTGATAAAAAGCATATACGAAGAGAGGAAAGGGAGATGAAGAAAACAGAAGCTTCTTGTCACTCCCAAATGCCATTGTGCTCTGTACAGAAACAACCTTTGGATTTTCAGGAAGGGCTGCCATCTTCTCTGCTCAGGAAGCCTATATCATCCTATATAGTGCAGGAAATCCTATTAAAAAATGAGGAAGATAATTCTGAAATAAAATTGATGGATTTGAGAACAGATTTGCAAGACACCGGCAAAGACCTGTATTTTTCAGAATCATGGCCAGTAGAGCTCTTGGAAGGAGAATATGGTCAGTCATTGAAGGCATATCAGGTAGATCGAGTTGAAAATCTCATAAGACAGCTGAGGAGTGAAATAATGTTCCTTAGGTCAGAGGTGAGACACCTTCCACATATATTTTTAGATTACTATCTACAGTTACTATTTGTCATAATAATGGCTAGATCATAATATGTATTTGAATGATTTGTCATTGCCTGACTGGTCTTAACTGGACAAATGGGCATTTCCCTATTTTCACAGCAGAATTTTAATGCTGCTGTATAAGAATCTGCTGAAACTAAGAAAGAAAGGGGAATACACAACAATCCATCTATAGATGGGAGAATCTGTGTTAGACTTATCCAGCAAACGTTATCTTAGACTATCGTGTAAATGTTTTGAGAAAAAGAGACTCAAATAGGCCTTGCCTTCATAACCTCATTAATAAAGAAGGGCTAAGGAGTTTCTATCTGGATTTTTAATAGTTTGTAGCCAACTCTCTAATCTTTGTTCTTTGCATGTGCCTTACAATTAAGGAGCTTGACAAATGTTGATCATCTAGAAATTCTTTAGTAATCACTTGATAATAAACACATGTTAACAAGACATAGGTAATATTAAAGCTTATTGATGTTAAGACATAGATAATTATGCACTAATTATTACTTATTCTTCAGAATGAGCAGATATTAAGAGACTTGTTCGCCAAGAACACACTGAATAAAAATGCAGAGCTAGAGCTTGAAAGATGCAGGAGCCAGAAATTTGAGGTAGTTCAAGGTTCCAAATATAATATAAAAAAACTTGGTGTTTGTAGCATGATAAGAATTAAATTATTTCATATTTTGTGACTGTAATTACTTCCTGGCCTATAGCGTTTGACTATCCATATATTCAAATATACTGTATCATATACATGGTTAAAAATGTATGACATGTAGGTTTTAATTGATTCTTCGAACTCTTAGTTAATGATTTATTAACTAATTCCATTTTTAAAACTGAAATTCTGTTTTTTATGCTCATGTCATTTTTGTTAACAGAATGATTACCTTGCCAAAGAATTAAATGAACGAGAAAAAGATTTGGAACAAAACAGGACTGTAATAATGAAATTGAAATCCAATTGTAAGCTGAATTTTTATTTTTAAAAAATTGCTTTAGTCTAAAGTAGAAAAAGAAAATGGTATTAACATAATAAATGAAAAAATACATATAGAAAAATGCTCAATTTTCTGAATAATATTGATATTCATTATATCAATAAAGTCACTTCACAAGCAAAAAGTGAATATTAGCAATCCAGAAGTGTTAATTTATAACCCATTTTCCGTTTTTCAATAATAGTATGCTGGGTTATCCCAAAATGTAAGTTCATTGAATGAATAAGGGTCAGAATTCTATTTCCTTCTCAATGTTTTCAAAATATGTCTTGCAACTTTTAATGTTGAAAGTATAATGGAATTATGACTAAAGAGGAGTCAAGCTTCTGCCTTGATATTAGATGAATATAGCTTTCTAATTCTATCTGAATCTAAATCTTTCTAATTGTAGGTCAGGTTCAATCACTTAAAGTCAATAGATAATTAAACATCAAAATAATTATTGATTGATAAAACTGAAAGCTAGGAAAATTGAAGAGGTAAATTGACAATAAATATCTTATGGGTTTATAGTTTATAGTTCCCATAAGAAATGTAACTATATGTAAACTCTGCAATAATTAGTGGATCAACCAAAATGAAACTTGGTCTCTGTTTTAAATCTTGCAAACCTTTGCATGAACTACTAGAGGATGGCAAGCTCTGCCATGAGGGACTTGTTGCCATGAGGAATATCCACAATACATAACAATAAGTAGTAAACAACCCTAAAATTAAATCACAGATAAAATCAGAAAACAACCAACCAAAATAGAATTAAATTCTGTCATCTGTAAGCCAACTGTGTTTTTAGCAATTTTCTAAAGCCTTATTAAAACTAATCAGATTTCAGGAGGCAGGGAGTTCCATTGCATTTGTATCACCACAGAGAAACATTTGTGAGCCTCCAGACTCTTAACTTGTTGCAACAAAATTGCCCTCACAACTGCCAACTATCTGTTGTTTTCTGGATTAAGTGAAGCTTCTCTATTTATTTCAAATCTCAATATCGAATAGTACAACTAAGTGGCGATAAAGAGTCAAGCTGATGTTTCAAGCCTGTCTATTAAAAATACATATGAATGTGAACTCATTCTATTCCATGGTGTCCTGATGTGAACAATATGCATTGTAATTGTAGTGAAAGAGTTGGTACAAGAAAACAAGCACCTTCAACAAGGCATGAAAGAAATTTTACAAGCAATAAAGGATTTGCAAAAGGATCCAGGTGTGAAAGATGGAGAAAGTGCTCTTATAATTCCTAGTCTGGAGCGGTTAGTAAATGTGAGTCTCTTGTTTTTTTTATTATTATTATTTAGCTTAGTCTAATATCTCTCATTCAATGGATTTCATGTTTATGAGTTTTTTAAAAATAGCTCACAAAATAGAAAAATATATCAGTTATGCCTCTAGCTAAATATAGCTGAAAATTTTACAGAATTTGAAACAAACTATAGCAACAATAATCCCTGTGTTTACAACCTCCTGATAGAATTCCTAAGAATGGAATTCTCCTATAATGTCACCTAGAAGGCATATACCATCTTTTTCTGTCTACAATGAATGGTTTGTGATTAGAATCTATCTGGAGGAGCCAAGCATTTTTACCCTTATCAGAAGAGACTTAAATAAAAGAGATAATAGGCAATTGCTGAGACTGTTGTAATCCATTCTGCAACATTATATACTGATCATACTTTGCATTGTAATTTACCTATTATAATGGTTTTGGAAGTGAACTGTGCATCAGCAGTCTTTCATGAATGTTTCCATAACCCTAATCAGCACTATTAATATCATAGTGCTCTACCTCTGTATTCATAGAACTATACAAAGTGTTTCATATGCTCTAAAGGCAGAGATAGCTGGAAGGAATCTTACTAAACTGTTTGTAGCTGTTTTGTTAGTGAAGATAAGTACAAAATAATGGCTTGGGGTGAGATAGTGACAAAGACGAATCAAAAAGGCTTACATAAGGGACCAAAATCAATTACCTGCCAGATCCCCTTATCTTATCTTGGAGAAAGAAGAAAAATCTCTAGTGAATATTTTTCCCTTTTAATTTTCTTGGTAATTTTTTGGAAATGGTAATGCCTGGTATTGCAGCTTGCACATAAATTGATTCCTTTTGTTTTCCTCATTCTTTAGAATTTTTTTCCAAGAGAGTTGTAGATTAAAGTTGGTGTCTGATTTCATTTGTGATGTGTTTTTTATTCATTGCAATTCAGTGATATATTTAATTTCATCATATAAATCATTCTTTATGATTTTAAATTAAGCTGTATTAAGCTATAGAACATCAAATGAACTTATTTTCATCTATAAATCCAGTAAGATCACTTGTTATAGTTACAGATAATAGGAAGCATGGTTCCAAACTTTTGGAGAGCACTATCTTGTGGAGTACTTGGACTACTAATAGAGTTCTGTTATTTGGAAGGAACTGAAAATTTTCCATAATTTAATTGAAAATACTTACTTTTGTGATGAATTAATTGTTGACAGGCAATTGAATTAAAGAATGCAGAAGGAGCTTTTGATGCCAGCTTGCATTTTAAGGCCCAAGTGGACCAACTGACAGGCCGAAATGAAGAATTGCGCAAAGAATTGAGAGAATCTCGGAAAGAAGCAGTAAACTTTTCTAACCAGCTAGCTAAAGCAAGTACAAAAGTATGTAGATTACCTTGGCTTTCAAAATTATCTCTGCTACTACTGGAAAAAAAGTTAAGAGGAGTCCCATTCAGAGCTATTTGTGTTGCAAATTGTTTTTAATGGAATTTCTTGTTTGTCTCTGGACTGGATTAGTGAATTATATCTGTTGTGAGTGACAGAGTGATGTTCCAAGTGCTTTTCTGCTGTACTTGTTTTAAAGCTGTTAAAATATATGAAGCTTTACATACAGTATAGTATGATTTGGTACTATGGACTTCCAGAGAAGGTTTTCTAATTTATAACCATGGAATTTTCCAGTCATTTTTAGTGAGATGGGCTAGATAAAACTTCAGAGATTTTAGAGATGTTTTTCTTCCCTCCATTGTTATTTTCTAATGTTTATTTTTTAGATTGCAAATCTAGAAAATGAAATTGAGATGCTGAAAAAATCAGAAAGTGGCAACATAATATTTAAATCACCAAGTCTTCCAGAAGGGATGTCTCCTTCTAGTGTGAACATCATTAATTCCCAGAATGAATATTTAATACATCTTTTGCAGGTAAATAACATTAAACTAAATAGTATATGTATTTCTATATGTCCAATCTGTCAGATTTTTTTCCATATACAGAAACAGAACAAAGGTTCAGGGAGAACATGCACATATAGTTTCTTCATTCATGAGTTAAACTTAAGCTTTTCAATTAATATTTTTTCCTAAACTAGTTTTTAGGAAGTATGAATGCTTATTATATAAGTATGAATGCTTATTATATAATATACACACATATAATAGCATGCCTACATAAAATGAGCATAGGATTTTTTGTTAACATATGCTTATAGAATTAAATCCATTGCTGTTAAGTATTAATTCACTAACTTCATTAACTTCAAGACGACAGTGTTCCAAGCAGTAACATTGGAATTGAAGTAGAGAGGTATCATATTTTTAATTTATGTGTATTATTAGGAATTTGAAAACAAAGAACTGCTATTTAAAAAATTAGAAGAGGCAATAGAAGAATATAAGAGAAAATTTGCAGTTATCCGCCATCAACAAGGCTTGTTGTATAAAGAATATCAAAGGTATAGTGATTTTTCCTTCTGATTCTTTTGATTAGAAAGTCAAAATATCTTTGTTAATCGAAGAAATGAGAATTTTATCATAGTTTTTTTGAGCTGCCCTATCACCATAATAAATTTAACTCAGCTTATTAGTAATTTTTACTCCTTTATGGGTTCATATTACCAAATTACAGATTTTTAAATTGATACTCGTGTCAAAAATTAACATTTTCAAATCATGATAATATTAGCTTTTTCTGCCTAAGACTTGAAGTAGTTATTCTGGTTGAATATGAGAGAAGAGGCAAATGAGCAGGACAATCGATATCTTTCTATATTTAGCATCAGATAAAATACCAAATTCTGTCTAGATTAAGTAGTTTCTGAACACATCTGTTACAATTATTACAGTACATAATAAGAATTCCTGTCTCTTCTCTTCAGATCCAAGATCTAACCCTGAACATTAAAAAATTAATTAAACAATGTATTAACATTCCTTAATGAAATAAAACATTGTTTTTCATGTGATTTATGACATTTGGATATTTTTTTTGCTAAATTTACACAATCTGTTGAGTTATGGATCTCTAAAATTAGACCATCTGCATTGTATAGTGTTCTGATATTCTAATTTTGATTATTTAGAAAATAACAGTTTAAACTTCTTTGGACTAAACATGAGAGGCAAAACAAAACAATTTGTAATACCAAAACATTCAATTAATACTATAATGTTCTTTCTTACAAGTTCTGTTTTGTTAATCAGTTCTTTTTGAGAAATTGTTTATAACTTTTTAATCTAAACTTTCAAACCTAGGCATCCACCTAACTTGTTAAAACTATATTTTACAGGCTGATAAAAAGGAATGGCCTTAAGTATGTATGCATTTATTGAAAACTTCTCTCTTTTTTAGTGAAAGGGAACACTGGAAAGTTGTTAATGAGAAAATACTACAGGAAAAGAAAAGATTGGAGTATCAAAAGGAGGAAGATGATACAAAAATAAAGGAATATACTGTAAGGAGATTATTTTCATTTGAATGTAGTAAATTTTAATTTACATGAAAACAGAAAATGTTCATTAACCATAATCCTAAGAATATCATTTAATATTTTCCCCTACAGTATTAGCAAGTGGTCTTTGATTTGCTAAGGTTTTCACTTTCCCCATATTTATCACTACATACAAAGAGGAATAGGGAGGAAAAGCCGTTTTCCTAGCTGTTAATATACTTATTCTCTGAATAGATTTTTTGGGGGAAAACACTTGGGTCTGCGGAAAGGTGGAGTAGATTAATGATATGAATGAAGCTTTATAATCCAGAATCTGTTAATTATGCATGAGTAAAATGCTTACCAAATGTTGACTACACTGTCTATAATACTGGAAACTTTCCACAGGATTTATTGGATGCGCTTGAAAAGGATACTGATGATACTAAACAGCTATTTGCAGATTATAGTAGAAAAATAACTGTTCTGAGAGTAAAAGAAAGATCAATAACAAGACAATATACAACATTACTTGAAATGGAAAGGCATCTTCGCAAAGAAAATGATAAAATGAAGACTGACATGATATCAATGGAAGTGACAGTTCGAGAAAAGATTGGATCTTTGCAAAGATTCAAAGTATGTGTTATTTTATCCAAGTTTGTTCATCATACTGTATCGTTCAGTTGTACATAATTTGATTATGTGTTATCAAGTTCATGAATCCTGTATATTGCTGTAATCTCTCTTATCAGATTCCTGAACTGGTCCCTGAAGTTTTCCATGTAGTTCTGATAGTTATCAATAATAGGGTCATTGTGTTCAATGAAGGGCGGGGCCCTTTGAGATGCTGAGGCTATGAGGAAAGTCTGTACAAAGGAAACTTGCAACCAGTCAGTTGAAAATTCCACTGCCCGAGTGTCCATAACTCATATTGTGCTATGAAAGCTTTCATCTTTTCTGACTTCCAAACTGGAATTTCTAAAGAAGATACTGGATAACCATTTGTCTGAAGTGGTGTAGGGCAGTGGTTCCCAAACTTGGCAACTTTAAGACTTGTGGACTTCAACTCCCAGAATTCTCCAGCCAGCAGAGCAGAAGTCCACAAGTCTTAAAGTTGCCTAGTTTGGGAACCACTGGTGTAGAGTGNAATAAATGAACTTTTGCACGATATTCTAATTTTTCGAGTTTCACCTATTTGTTAGATCAAGAATTGCTTGTTTCAAAGCTTTTTATTCCTTTCTAAAAAGCCATAATGTTTGTTCTATTCCTAACTATTATGCTACTTTACTGGAATTAATTGTGTTGTTTAAATTACTGTTGAGATTTGACTTGTTATAAATTATTAGGTAATTGAGTGGCATGTAAAAATTGAAGAACTTCGCCTCCAAGAACTTAAACTAAATCGTGAATTATCCAGGAAAAATGAGGAGATTAAATATTTAAAAAATATCCTCTCTGAATATGAAGAGACAATCAATCATTTGGAAGAAGAAATTGTTCAGCAGGGCCAGGTACAGAAAAAATACCACCATCATTTTTTTTCTTCAAAAAATTTATGTACTCTTAAGAATATTACTGTTGTTAATCTTTCATAAAAACATTTTTTTGCATTTAAGTTTATATCAGTGTGCTATAATGCTGTCATTCCTAGATACCATTCTTCATATAAAATTCTTATCTAATTGTAGTTTCATGAGGAGCGACAGATGGCCTGGGATAAAAGAGAAGTAGAATTAGAACGTCAGCTGGATATATATGACAGTCAGAAACAGGACATATTAAGTACAGCTCAGAAGGTAATTACATTGATTTAAGGCTATATAACAGAGCCATATTTTTTGGTGGAGAGCTGCTCTTTATCTTCCATCTATTTCTCTCTTTTACAGTTTAATGAAGCTGCAGGTACAGTTCCAGATCCTACCTTGTCTCTTCCACATCAACTTGAGCAAGCTCTTAAAACAGTTAGAGAACAAAGTCGAACAATTCTGGAAATGCAAGCCACCTGCAAATCTGTAGAAGAGGTAATAGAACTATTCACCTAATTGAATCCTCTGTTTTTAATGATGTTATCAGACCAGTAGAGGGAGAAAATTATCACAATTCAAGAGAGCTTAGGAGAGTTTTTTAGTTACTTTTCACAAATAATTAACAATAATTATCATTTAAATAGTATATAAGCTGGAAACCTAGGAGTGTTAGCTGAGACCAAAATTTCTTAGGTTTACCTAAGTAAAAATGGAAAAATAGAAAATATTGTTAATGAAATGTCAACAAAACAAATATCAATTTAATGTGTGTGATTAGCTTTAACTAGTAGGATGATCAAATTCTGACCATTTAAATCTTAATCTATGGGTTTAAACTATTTTGTGATAGTTTAACGTCAATTTACTAGTTGATAAATTAAAGTTCCTTTTTAGCTATGATGACAAAAAAAGAAATGTACTACTATAGGCATTTTAAATGTTGTAACTGGCTCTCATTGTATAGTATCTAAGCCGGGAAAGATAAAACTAAGTGTCCTTAGCAAAAACTTTACCACCTAGCTCTCCCCAAATTATGTCCTGTAATTATTTTTTAATATTTTCTCTTTCCAGAGTGACTATCTAGAAAATCCTGAGTTCATTTTTTTGCCGTTGCCTCCACTATCATTATCACCCCACTTTTACTCGCACCACCCCAAATCTTCCTCTCTGATCTTCTAGTATTTTTAATTTGGAGAAAGTTACAAAGCTGTAGGTTTTTTTTTTAATCTGCACGTTTTATATTTAGGGATGATCATATCACAATAGAAGCATAATTGATTGAAATGTCATATACAATATATGTATTGCTGAAACTGATTCTAATTAATTTTTCAATAATATGGATTTCCTTGGTTTCAGAAGCTAAAAGAAAAAGAAGCCACTTTGTGGAAAGCAGAGCAAAACATCCTGTTACGAGACAAAGTCATAAATGAACTAAGATTGCAATTGCCAGCATCATCTGAGAGAGAGAAATTGGTAGCGCAGCTAGATCAAATTGATGATAATACAAACCCCCATGCTCTGAAAATTGCACACCAGACCATTGCAAATATGCAAGCAAGATTAAATCAGAAAGAAGAAATTCTGAAAAAGTACCAACATCTTTTGGCCAAAGCACGAGAGGTATTATAATTTAGAACACTTAAATAAAAATGAAGGTGGAATATTTAGGTTTCATAATGGGATTTGTGGTTAGGCTTAGGGAAAAAACTTGTATACCAATACTTTCTGTTACAATCTTCCTATTATTTCAGTTATTTTTCTTGAATATTTTTGTGCATCATTCATGAAAAACTCCTAGATAGGCATACAAAAGAATGAAAGTAACAGGTTAATAGTGATGAAGAAAAAAAAAAGATGTAAGTAGGTCACATATTAAAGTTATAAGTAGTCTTATTTTGAAAATGGAAAATGTGGAGAGTTAGTTTGGGTTTCTTTGTATTTCATAATAAATCTGATTTAGTATTTGAATAGATTTGGGAGGAATAAGCCTGCAGGAAAAAAATGAGCTTAAATCAATTAATGAATTAATTAATTAACAAATTAACAAATATATGTATATGTGTGTATATTCCCATTATCTGTTTTTATTAATTAGATGAAATAGCGCAAATTATCAATTAAGTATTGTAACAAGAAATATAAATGTATTATTTAGGAACAAGAAGAAATTGCAAAGAAGCATGAAGAGGACCTCAGAGTTCTGCATCAGAAATTAGATGTACATGTTGACAGTTCCTTTAATAAATTCAAGCAAACAGCTTTAGTAAGTATAATATGTTTTATTTGTTTCCAAACTAAATGCTTATAACAGAAAGATAAAATGGGAAAATTGTTATGGTTAATCGTGCAGTAAACCAGAGGTTTAAACTGGATTTGCATTTTTGTCGATCTATGGAGCCCTTGCCACTACCTGGGTTAAGATGGTATTGTTTTATGGTGTTAAAGATATCGGTGCAGGACATCAGGTACTCAAATGAAACTGCCCTTTGCAATTGTCTGATAGTAATTTTATCAATGCCAGTGGTGTTCAAGTGGTGCTCCAAATGTATTGGAATTGCGTCCAAAACACCTATCACTATTGATACTATCTGATTTTTTTTCTCATACTTGTTCATTGTTATTGTTATTATTATTAGGCAGTTGATGGAACTAACAGTTTGAATGGACACTATTAACTTTTGATTTGGAGCAATTTATGTGAGGAAATACAAAAAAATAGATAATATTTGCTATTTCATTCTGCAGATAAACAATAGCTTGTACATCTAATCCTCCACTAACAACAGTTCACTTAGTGAACAAACTTACAAAGGCACTGAAAAAAGTTATTATGACCATTTTTCACACTTATGATCATTGCAACATCCACATGGTCACATGTTTTAAATTCAGATGCTTGACAACTGTCTGACGTTTATGATAGTAGCAGTCTCCTGGGGTCATGTTGCAACCTTCTGACAAGCAAACTCAATTAGGAAACTAGAGTCACTTAACTGTGTACTAATTTAACAACTACTCACTCAACAAATATGGCAAGAAAAGTCATAAAAAACTCACTTTACAAATTTCTCACTTAGCAACATAAATATTGGGTCCAATTGCGGTCATAAGTTGTGGACTACCGTGTTTCCCCGAAAATACAACATGTCCTGAAACTAAAGCCTTGCCACATTTTATGGGTGGGCAAAAATATAAGCCCCCCTGAAAATAAGCCCCTGGACAACCCCCCCCCCCCTCTGGCCAGGCAGAGCACCGCTCACCGACCTAGTGGTATCCCAAAGGTGCCAAGCCGTGGGAGCCGGAGGGGTGGAAGAAAGGCACTCACATTGCTTGGCACCTTCGGGATATCACTAGGTTGGGGAGTGGCGTTCTGCCTGGCTGGAGAGGGGAGTTGCCGGGCGGCTGCTCCCTTACAAACGGGCTCCCAAAGAGCCGGGCACAGCCTCAGGGGCGAAGCAGTCATGACGTGACCATGATCACAAGCAGCCACATGGCAAACCCCCTCGCCGGGCAGAGCATCATTCACTGATGTAGGGAGTATCCCTAAGACGCCAAGCCATGTGGTGCTCTGCCCGCCCCCCAGCTGCTGCGGCTGGGCACATTCAGGATACCCCCTAGGTCAGTGCATGGAGCACTGCCTGGCTGCAGAGGGGGGGTTGCGCGAGCGCCTGCTCCACCCCCAGCTCGCATGCCTCCCAGCCCCACCATGCTCTGGGCTCTTGCAGCTGCTGCCGAGCTCCGAGCAAAATTTCTTCTGCGGCTTCCAAACTCCGGAACTTGGCTTCCGATTCTTCCAGCAGCGGCCGCTCTAGGAGTGTTTTCTATGGTTATGGGCAGGCTGCCAGACAAAGTCTTCTGACAGCCTGCCCATAACCATAGAGCAACACCAAAACAATAAGCCCGCCCCCTCTAATAAGCCCAAGGCCATATTTTGTGGGTCAAAAAAATATAAGACCCTGTCGTATTTTCGGGGAAACATGGTACCAGTATTTTTCCTTAATGTCTCTTACCTAGCAAAAAGCTTAAAAATACAATTTCTTTGCGTTTTGCGTTTGTTTCTTTAGCATAGGAGTAAAATCTGTGATCTGGGGAAAAATATATCATCCTACTGATGACTACAAGGAGAATATTTAAATCAAATATTGAAATTCTTGTGACTTTGAAAATTCCTAATTTTGACTGATGTATATGTTCTGAATTGAGAATCATACAGGCTAAATTAACCTCTTTTTACAAATGTATTGGCAAGAAACTTTGATTTTTGATGTTAAAGTGTAATAAATGAGTACAGAAAGATTTATTTCAATCTTCGTTGTTCTACAGGAGTTGATTCAAAAGCCTTCTTTAGCTGTTCCGGCAAGTAAACATTTAATTCGGGTGGCAGAACTGGAACAAACTATAGCAGAACAGGACAGCTCCCTTAATTCTCTTCTCAGCAAATTAAAGAAAACATCAACTGATTTGCAGAAGCAAAAGCAGATAACTGCAGTAAAAATCAATGAGTTTGATAACATCAGGGCCCAGTAAGTTTAGAATGAAGTTGTGATATTAGAAATTCTTGATCTGTTTCCTTGACTTATAACTGAGTCTTGTGTTGCATAAATAATTAAATTTTGAATTATCACTGTATAAATTTAAAATTAGTTGAACATTATTTTTAGAGCTATTATCATTGTCTCACTACTCACCTTTTAATAACATGACTGAGTTTAGTTACCAGTAAATTAGTTTAGTTTACTAAATTCTGATATAAATTTAGGACAGTGTGAGAAATATTTATGAATAATATTTGAATATTTCTTAGTCTACCTGGCTGTGCTCAGTTTAATAGTGGAATTCAGTTTTATATATTATTTTGTTGCACTAGGCTTGAGGAGAAGCATCAGTGTAGAGTTAAAAAACTGCAAGATGAAATAGAAGACTTAAGGAGTTTATTGTCAAAAATGGGAAAAGAACTACTGAATATAAAAAGTGAATTGGAGATACAAAGACAAGCAAATAACAGGTCTCCAACAACTACAATGAAGAATCTAGTGGAACGACTAAAGAATCAGCTAGCTTTAAAAGAGAAGCAACAAAAAGTAAGTATGATTATTTCACAATTTTTTGAGATTAGATCTAGGGAGGAGATAGGTGCAATCATTGACAAGCTTCTTGGTGATGTATATTATGCAAAGACAGCCAAAGTCATTTTATAAGCCATATTAAACGTTCCCTATCTGCCAACATTTTTACGGAGCTGGCAGACTTTCAATACTGTGTTTTTTTCTTTTGTTCTCTTACTTAGTTTGCATGGTGCATGATGATTGCAAAATAGAGATAGTCCTTTCATTTCTTTCTATCCCAAACTGTCCAGTACCTGAGATGCTTTACTGACTGTCTCACACACACACACACACACACACACACACACACACACACACACCTCAATTTACAATAGTTCATTTAAGTGACCGTTCAAAGTTACAACAGCATTGAAAAAAGTGACTTATGACCGTTTTTCACAGTTATGACCTTTGCAGCAGTCCCATGATCATGTGATCAAAATTCAGATGCGTGGCAACTGATTCATATTAATGACCATTGCTATATACCAAGGTCATGTGACCTTCTGTGACCATATGACTAAGGTTTTGCAAACTTCTGACAAGCAAAATCAATGGAGAAGCCAGATTCACTTAACAACTGAGTTACTAACTTATTAACTGCAGTGATTCACTTAACAACTGAAGCAGGAAAGGGCATAATATGGGACAAAACTCAGTTAACGTTTCACTTAAAAGCAAATTTTGAGTTCAATTATAGTTGTAAGTTGAGGACACACACACACACATAGAAAGTTATACATAGACTTATATAAATAATGTTACTTATAAATTAAATAAAATTTTCTGTAGCCTTATTTATTGATTTTTGCAGTTTATTCCAAAAATACCACTCAAAAACCTCAGCCAGAAAAGATTGCAACTTCAGTTCTACAGAAAGTTAAATTCTGGGTTTATTTACATATACAAATAATGATAGTTATTTTTTTTTTAATTTACAGAGCTTATTTGTATCTTTTTAATGATATTTTTAGGCTTTGAGCAAGGCACTTCTGGAACTCCGAGCAGAAATGACAGCAGCTGCAGAACAACAGATCATTTCTGTAGCATCACAAAAGGAGGCACATATGAATGTTCAGCAAATTGTTGACAAGCACACAAAGGAATTGAGGGTAAAAAGGAACCAGCATTTTGGTTTGGTTTGTTTTCATACCAAAACAGTGTCTAGCAGCAATTTATCTCACTTTGAAAATTGCATTTTTTTGTCCCAAAAAAGTTCACAATTGGAATGGATGCAAATGCTCTTCATTTAGCAACTACATCAGTTAGCGACCATTCACAAATATGGTAATTAAAAATTTATTTTCTGACCAATGCATACATTTACATCCAAATTTTGTTCATCTGTCAACAATACATGCCAAGGTGAAAACAATATTGGTATACCTATATGAGACCTTTCTCTGAATGACATAGCAGCAACCAGCAATTTTCACAGTGGCTTTCAGTTACATGTTTTAAATTTATTGTTAACTTTTCTGTACTGCCCATCTCCCTCAAAGAGAGACTCTGCATGGTATACAATAATTAGCAACTATTTTGCTTTACAACCAAGTCACTGGAACATAACTTTTTCATTAAATGAGGAGTGGATATATTTTCTTTATAAGGTGGGATCTGTCTGTCTGTCTGTCTGTCTGTCTGTCTGTCTGTCTGTCTGTCTGTCTATCTATCTATCTATCTAT